TCTCACTGTGGGGGCGAGCCTGTCTGGTCCTAGCTGCTGGGTTAAACCATGACAGTTCCTTACTAAAATGTTTCTTCAAGACTGCAATTGAGCTTTGTAATGCTCTCAAAGCTTCCCAAACTCTCACCTTTGAATTCCTACCCAAATCCTCCTCTCCAAGCTTACTGGCTAGGAAATGTACATGAATGATGTAAAAATAATAATAATAAAAAAAACTGTTTCATCCACATATAAAAAATGACCATCTTCACACTGCCTCCCAGATTTTGCTGTTTTCCTAGGATGTCCTCTTTTACCTGCTGACTGGCAGACAGTCAACTTTTAACAAAGATACTTTACTCGCTTGAAGGTATTTAAGCATTACAAGAAATGGTAAAACCTCCTGATAATCTGCAGCACAATAAATATTTACCTGAGGCGAGAGTCAGTCTGGCTTGAGTTACCATTATGGCTGACTTGAAGCAGTTACTTGAATCCAGACATCCCAGGCAAGTATCCGACCACTACCCGATCATGAGAAGTTTCTCTTGACTCTGCTTCCTTTTCACCTGAATCAGAAGCTAAACATCCCCAGGGCCGCAGAAAGCTACTCCTAGCTCAGCAATACAGACCACTTCCCTGCAGGGTGGATTCACGCATCTTTTCCAAAAACATTACGTTAATAGCAGCAGTATCCAGATACTCACATGGTAACTAAGCAAACATGTTGCAGGTGCTTTTTTCCCAGCTCTGCGCTGTGTACACATAACGGAAATAGTTCCACTAGCAAAAATTATGTTTTTAAGCCAACTGGGAGAATCTGGTGTTGTGACCTCCACAGGTCTGAGCTATTTCTTTTCACATTGCTTTACGGCTCTCTCTGAAGGAAGGAGGCTGCACAGAGGGATGACATACAGATGCCAAAAAGGAGTGTGTAGCAGCTGGACAGAAACTGAGGGGCCTGTGCACCTGGGACACATGTAAGTGTCTTAGGCGACTGGAGTCTTAGTCTGTTTCAACAAACTTCACCAGACTTTGTTAGCAAGCAGCCACTGGTCTTCGTTGCTATCCATCACGTTCCTCTTATCACAGACTACTAAAATAATGACAGAACGTTTTTGTTTAAGCAACTACCAACCCTCATGTAATTTGCTTACATGAATACTGATGACTCAATGGTTTTAAAATTTTAGAAGCCCTAATAAGTAGTGTATACGCTTTGCTCACTAATAAACTTCCTGTCCAGGAACATCCATGAAAGCATAGCAATTTTTTTTTCTCCCCAACACATATGCAAACCCAGTAACTTACACAGGCAGAAGTTTTCTAGATAATGCAACTGCTTGAGGTAGAAATAGGAATACTTTCCTTTTTTTTTTTTTTTAAAGCAACAAAACTAATATCAACAAAACATCTCAAGCTCAACAATTGAATAGTTTTTTTCATTAAATCCAGATCTGATTTGCACAATAAATTCTCAAAGCACTGTTACCTCCCATTGCAAAATGAATTACACGGGATATAACAAAACACTACCTAATAATACATTAGGAGAAGACAGATTGAAAAATTGCTAAGAAAAAACCTACAGTATAGGAGTTCGATCCAAATGAAGTACCTGTGCAGCTGAAGATGTGTGTGTGCGTAAGTGCTTTACTGAGTCAGAGCCAGGGCATTTGTTAATTTGCTGGATTATGCTGCAAGATATGGATAATGCTGCAGGAGTAGGAGATGGGTGTTTCCAGGAAATAAAGTACTTGATGTTCACATTGATGCTATAGCCTTAAACACAGCATACATAAGTAGAGACTGGAAGAAAAAGCACAGATCAGAAATACAGATACGTTGGTAAGAGTATTTCAAGAAATACTGAATGGTTGAGGCTGGAAGGGACCTCTGAGGGTCATCTGGTCCAACCCCCATGATCATGCAGGTCCACCTAGACATGGTTGCCCAGGACCACATCCAGATGGCTTTTGAGGATCTCCAAGGATGGAGACTCCACGACCTTCCTGGGCAACCTGTGCCAGTGCTCAGTCACGCTCACAGTAAAACAAAATAAAACAAACGAAAAGCATTTCCTGATGTTTGCTGAAATACCTCCCATATTTCAGTTTGTGTCTATTGCCTCTGGTCTTGTCACTGGGCACCACTGGAAAGAGCCTGGCTCTGGTTTCTTTGCACCCTCCCTTCAGCTATTTATGGACATTTATAAGATCCTCCCGGAGCCTTCTCTTCTCCAGGCTGAGCAGCCTCAGTTCCCTCAGCCTTTCCTCATAGGGAGAGGTGTTCCAGTCCCTTCACCATCTTTGTGGCCCTTTGCTGGACTGTCTCCAGTCTGCCCATGTCTCTCTCGGACTGGGGAGCCCAGAACTGGACACAGCACTCCAGGTGAAGCCTCACCAGTGCTGAGTAGAGGGGAAGGATCCCATCTCTCCACCTGCTGACAATGCTTTGTCTAATGCAGCCCAGGACACCACTAACCTTCTTTGCTTGAAGGGCACACTGGTATGTGGTAGATAGGCTTGAGTTAAAATTGCCTTTCAAGATGAAATTTGAGGTGGACGTTGTACATCTCCCCTCATCCAACAGAAATCATAGAAGTAATTTATTTTTTTACAAATTGACTATCATAAAGTTAAGTTTGTAGACTTTTGTGCAAGATATTTAAGTCACCAATAAAGAGGAGTGTTCTACATATTTAATAATATTTATGACATAGCTTTCTGTACAGCAATGTGCTGGTATTTTCTGTCCTCTTTTACATCATTCAGAGTTACAGTCATCAATTCTAGTGATTATTCAAAGTAAATGACTTCTTAATCTTCCAAGAAAGAACCTGGAACAGCTCTTCTCAGAACATCTGTTCTAGTGCACATGTCCCTTCATACTAAACCACAACAGGCCATGACTAAGAGACCAGATCCTTCACTCTTCCTAGGTCTATCAGCAACTTGAATGTTACTTGTTGGTAAAGGCTCTAGTGATTCCAAGGAACACCTTCTCTGCCAGTTCAAATATTTTGAAGATTGCTGAAGTGCTAATTTTCTGTTTGACACATCACTGCTTTCATATTTGATTCCACATGCACATACATGACTGTGAATTTGTAATTCTCTCAATTTGTACTTCCTTCTGAAGTCCCACTCAAATCCCTGTTTTCAAGTTCTGATGACCAATGCTGCTGTGGGTGGAAGAAAAAGTCTCTGCTTCCTTTAAATGAGTTTTCAGTTCTAGAAACAGTTAGCATTGAGACAAATGACATCTATATCTAAAATAACTGTAGAAGAAAATACTGGATGAAGAAACATGATCTTATTCAACACACTTGCTATCTAAATCCACCAAAGTCTCGGTTGTTAGAAACTCCAGTATGACACAATGGCAACAATAGCTCATTCTGCAGCATTAAATATTTGTGTATATTAAGATGGGGATGGAAAGGGCAATGACAGTGGCACCAGGCACTCAGAAGCTTTTCATGGGAAGAGATTCAAAGTAACCAGAAATGTGTCACAACACGTTTATAATACAAAAGTGCATAGAGATCATTAGTAAATACACAGGCCTGTAAAGATAACTAAGACAAAACTTGATACGATTTTGAAAGTCCAGTATCTGAATAGACTAAGAAAACCTCCAAATTAGCTAGAGAAGAGTATCTGACAGAATCTCTGTGTAAAACGTAACTAGATTGATAGCTTGTATTGATTTCCAGAATCTTGCATGAATGCAGGCATCAACAACAGAAACCTATGATTTCTGCTTCCAAATCATATTACAACAAAGCCTAGCATAACTCCATACCATATTCCTAGTAGTGAGATTCTTTCCCTGTTGAAGCATACTAAGCAACTGGAGAATGAAGAAAGGAAGAAAACATACCTGTTAGCACTGATCCTAAATTAGTAATCATGTAATTAATGTTAGAGTGTCAGTTCTCTGTCATTCTCTGAATTCTTTTACAGGTGGGCGAGATTACAAAGTTGGTAATGATCTGCCGAGACATGTTAGAAATTCAGGTATCCAAAAAATTCTCCTCCATCTGGAATGTGCCTTTTAGTAACAAAGAACCTGGAAGGTTCCAACAGTTCATTCTGAGTTAGATGCACATAGTATGTGCTAACACAGCCACAATACTGGCCTGAACTGTGTGCAGAGCTCAGCTGCATCCAATACATGCCATGTAGACATTCACACATTTAATAATTTTAAACTCTTGGAGAGCCTTATTACCTTCAGTAGAGCGACTCGTATCTATGAACGTAAGGGCACACACATAAGCAGTTTCAGAATCAAAAGTCCAGTCCACTTTTGAAGAAAGTAACAGAGCAGTAATTTTGCTAGACCTCAAACACAAGACCTTCTTGCACAAGTGTTAGATTACAAACTGAATTTACAACTGGAACTCAGCAGCTGAATACAGGAGCCAAACATCTTTCTTGCTATCTTTTGCATGAGACATTTCACACCATCAGTTTTCACAATCTTTGAAGCTCAATGAGTTCACACTGGGGGAGGGGGGAAGGAAAATCATTCTGCTTTTCAAAGGGTATCATGATTCTTAATCCAACTTCTTATCTGCCTGCTAATCTTAACCATTTCTGTCGCTCTGGTTTCATGTATCATCTTATTATTCCCCCAGTCTACATTACAGTAGTATCTATTCGTCCACATTAGAATTCATATTAAAGCTATAGTTAGCATGCAATCTAGCCAACTAAAGAAATTAAATTGAAACCTTGATATTACATTTAATTCTTACTGCCAATTTTTCAAACAAACCTTTTTTCTGTTGCTCTGCACTCGTAAGAAAAATTGGATGGGAAAACTTGAAAACATGCATGAAGTACGCTGCAGAAGAAAAGTCTCTTCCACAACAACAGGTAAAAGAAATTAGAGAAATTTATTTTTCTATGTACAGTACCTCCTTACTGTGTGAATATGTATTCTAAACTCTGTTTAAATCTCCCAATGTTTAACATAAGGTGATTTTGCATAAAAATTACTTTCATACTTACCATTTTTTTCAGCTTTCTCCCTGCCATGGGAGTAGCCAGGAACTGAAGAAGAAAAAGTTGCACTGTCTCCTGCAGATGGTCCAGATTTCTGATTGTTCTCACTGTGGTCCACAGCAGCAGCGTTTAGCTGGGACCTTCCAAGATGCAGCTGGGGGTGAGAGGGACTTGAGGGGGGATCAGGATCTGAATTCATTTTAGCTGCAATAGAAGAGAATAATGATTAATTATCAGCTAGGAGGGTTACAAGGTAAAACCAGAGTAAAAATTTAAAATCTGAGTATATCTGTATAGTTAGTTGAACAAGAAGCCTAGACAAGGGCAAGAAGGCTGATACAGCAACTTCCGGATGTATTTATACATTCTTCAGTAATTCCAAGCATAAGCAGCTACTGTCGAATAAAACTGACCATATATAGCATTGTGCTGGCATAGCGACTGCCTTTTTTCCTAATTAAAATAAGAATTTACTTTCTTTCAAGTGTAGATAAATGGTAAAATTAATGAATCGATCCTGTAAATACTATATATAAATAACTTCTTTGAATCTAATGTTCTACTTACATATGCAAGAAATAAAGACTAGCCCCTAACTTTTTACAGAACAGTATTGACATGTCTGTAATGATAGAGGAATTCACTTCATACCAAGGGCCTGGTTCACAGCCACCACCTGACCAGGCAACAGAGAAACACAAGATAAGATACGAAGGCAAAGGAGGAGAAAATGTAGAACTCTGCCACTAGAAATGAGGAGAGGGACGCGACCAAAGATGCTCTTTATAGACATTTCCAATTGAAATATGCAGGATCCAAAATAAGCTGACTTTGTTTACTACTAAACTACTACCCAATTTTATAAAAAACCCTATTTATACGAAAGAAACCCACTAAGGCAGGGAAGGAAAGGCCTTGCAATTCCTTACAAGAGGAGACTTTGTAACCACCACCGTAAGCTCCCCCCTAAGCGATGAGGGGATCTCTGCCGTGCAGTAAGGAGTTCCTGAGCTCAGTAAGCTTTCAGTGAGTGCTCAGCTTTCACAGGGCAGGCAGCAGCAAGGCACGCACACACTCCGACAGCGTAACCCCCCCCCCCCCCTGCCGCTCTTCAGAGCGACTTCCCTGAAGCTAAGCAAGTCACAAGGAACACCGCAGATCGCGTCTGGCTAAAAACTGTATATTTTTTATTTCTGCACGTTCAGCACACTGACCTAAAGATGTCCTTGCAAAGACAACAGCAGCGCAGCCAAAACCACAGACACAACATCCAGCTCCAAGCAGAAGTAGCTGTTGGATA